CCCCTAGCGGCCCCGTTGCTGCCCTTCCAGGCCCCTCGCGGCCCCTTCGCGGCCCCGTCGCCGCCCCTAGCGGCCCCGTCACCGACCTTTCAGGCCCCTCGCGGCCCCTTCGCGGCCCCGTCGCCGCCCCTAGCGGCCCGTCGCCGCCCTTCCAAGCCCCTCGCGGCCCCTTCGCGGCCCCGTCGCCGCCCCTAGCGGCCCCGTCGCCGCCCCTATTGGCCCCGTCGCCGCCTCCAGCAGCCCCATCGCCGCCACTTGCGGCCCCGTCGCCGCCCCTTTCGGCCCTGCCTCGACCCTGCCCCGGCCCCGCCCCGGCCATGCTCCGTCGCCTGTCGCGGCGCACCGGGGGCCTGTGCACCGCCCCCCCCCCCTCTTTTCCCGTCGCCCGTCGCGGCTCCCCGGGGGGCCGGGGGGGCGAGCGTCGCCCCTTCTGCCACCTGTTTTGGCGCCCTAGGAGGCCGCGCGTCGGCCCCCCCTCCCCCCCCCCGCTGTAACCTCCCTACCCGCCGTCCCGCCCTGCCCTGTGTTAGGGTCTGGGGGTGGCGAGTAGGGGGTGGCGGGTGTGTGTTCTCCCCTGCTCCTCCTCCTCCTCTGTCTCCCACTGCTGCAACTGCCGCTGAGGGGGGTGGGTGTGTGGGAGTCGACAGAGTGGTGCTAGGGGGTGGGGTGTGAGTGAACCTAGGGTGCAGCAAGGGGTGTGTGAAAGGGGGGTGCTGTGGGAGTGGAACTAGGGTTTGAGCAGGGGGTGTGTGTCGAGGGGTGTGGGGCAGCTGGAGGAGGTTGTGTGAAGGTAGTTGTCGTGTCGCCTGCAGCGCCTGTAATCCGTCGCCCTTGCTTCGGTAGCCAGTGAGCCTGTTGCACCAGTCGCCAGTGGGTCCGTTGCTCCTGCCGCTCGTCTATAGCCGCGGAGCCAGTTACTCCAGTAGTCCGTCGCCCTTGCTTTGGTAGCCACTGAGTCATCCACTCTTGTGCCCGTGCCTCTGCAGCTTCAGTCGTTGCCTCCCATCTTCTCTCCTTCCACAGTTCCTCCTCCTCCTCACTTGCCCGCTGTGATTAACTCTAGCTTTGCTCGCTATTGTGAACTCCTGCTCGATGCCTGCTTGCTCATTGTGCTGATTACACCCTATTTTGGCTGTGGGGGTGTGTCAGAATGTTATAATTGTCTAGCCTGCAGTGGGGTACTCTATAGCGAGTACAACCCAATTAGGGTTTCCTATATGTATGCTAACTGCTGCTAGTGCAACCCTCTTTTCTTCATTCCTCATTTCTTCACAGAATAATTTTTCTCTATATTTCTTGGCGACAACTTATGGCAACATGATGCTGACATGAAGAATGAAGAAGCATATCATGGTGGATTCTACGGAAGAACATTTTCAGGATAAGCCTATGTCGCTGGAGGAAACAAGGCTATGGCGCCACGTTACGACTGCGGTGTGTGAAGCTGCTCAAAATTCTGTCGCGGATGCAGCTGCTCCTATCTTGCCTCAGAAAGTGGGGGTTGCCCCCAGCATTCAGCTCACGCAACTGCCTGCCATAGGAGGCTTTGGTGTACGGGGCACAGCTGCTAGGCAGCAACTTCAAACCAGGGAAATTTCTGCTCTCCCAACCCAACCCCACCACTCTCGGCGAATCAGATTTGGAGCCTAAGGACCCAGACTGAACATGCGACACCAAAGTCCTGCACGGCAGCAATTTCGAACCAGGGTTTTCTCTGTTGGAACCCAACCTTTTTACAAGGCACGCCAGGGGAGGCTCGGAGCCAATTCTTCCAAGCTGAAGCAACAGTTACAGAACCTGGAACCTACCGAGGCGTTTCTGCCAGAGTTGAAGTGTGGCAACGACACAGTTAGATTTTGTGGCGGGCAAGTTGAAGTTTTTAGGCGTTTGGTCTATAAGCCTACGTAGATTTCTGCGAGGGTACGGTATACACTACGTATGCCCTCTAGCTCCGGTTACGACCGACGGTGTTTTGCATTGTACGTTGTATAATGCATTTTCACCTACCAAAAAAAACAAGAGGCGACGAAATCATCTTAGGGTTGCGAAGAAACAATTGTAACATGCGTTTGAAGTTTGAACGGCCTTAATGTTGTCGTTATATTTGGATTAAAAAAAATTACGTGTTCTTTTATCTTTTGATACGAAGCTCGATTTCGTATGTTATTTTTTTTCCTTTTTTGTTTAACCTTGAACCAAATTGATGATGATGGTTTGTATACATGATAGGGCTGGGATATAATGGAAGTATACAAACAGAAATAGTTGTAGAACTGCTTATCAATCGTTTTCGCTAGGGAGAGTGTTGCTTGGGAAGAAACGAGAATGAATGAACTATGAATGAAGTGGGTACAAGTACTAACCCTAATTGGGTTGTACCCCCTATGGGATATGTGAAAAAAAGCTAGAGAGAGTTAGGCTTAGGAGCCATGGCTTAGGAGCCTTGGTTGAGTTCGAGTGAGTTGGGTTGGGAGAGTCGAGAGAGTTGAAACAAAAGAGAGGTTTCACTATAGAGCGTGCAGTACAAATAGGCAAGATGAAAGGTGCACCACCAAAACAGAACATTATATAACTACAGTAGTCTACACTACAGGCAGTTACAAAACAATATATAGATTTATATATTATTCTGACACGCCCCCATAAGTGCCTGTAGGGAAGAATATGCAGTCAACGCCCCCATAATGGGGTACACCAGACAGGCCGCAGCGGAAATCATAGCAATAGGCAAGTGCAGTGACAACAGGTGCAGTCATGGCAGATCCAGCTGTACCAACCCCTTTACCAAGGTAAAAACAGTAGGAGGTGGTGGGGCGGCAGGTCGCCTGAGGAGCAGGCTCTGTGGCTGCAACATGCAGCAGGACAGCAGCGGCTCGACGGCAGCACCTGCAGGCCCCAGCACTAGGTAGCAAAAAAAAAAACAGAGACAACAAAAGGTAGGTGGTAGCAGGGGCGGCAGGTGAAGGTGCCACGGCAGCAGCTGGCGTCAGCAGCAGATGACCGGCTGACTTCCGTCGCCCCCTCACTCCCCCCCCCCACAGCAGCACGTGCGGCAGTGAGAGAGAGAGGAGGGGCGGCAGCTCCTTGCTCACACCCGCCTCCCCAAAGCCTCCCCCCCACACTGCTGCACGTGCAGTAGCGAACATAGGGGCGTCAACCACCCTCGCGCCTCCCCTTCCCCCTCCCCCCCCGCCACACCTTCGTCCACAGTGGAAGAGACGTCAGCGGGCTCAGGTGGGGTTGGTGAGATCTCGGGTTGGGAGGGGGAGTAACGGGGGGGTGCAACAGGTGCCGCGATGAACGTCTGCGCACAGTGCGCAGTCACTTGCGTGGCAGCTGCAGTGGTAGCATCCGCATAGTCGACGGGAGGGCAGGGCAGGGGGCGCGCTCGGCGGCTGAAGTAGCTCGGCCGCCACACCCGCCGTCTCCCCCCAAAGCGACCGTCGATGCAGACGCTCGAGGCCGCGACAGGGCGTGACGAGAAGGCGACGGGGCCGCCGACTGGGGCCGCGACGAACAGAAAGAAGCCCGCCACGCTCGACTTCAGAGCCTTCACGACTAGCGGCTGAACGGGCACTTTTGGGGCCACGACGAGCGCCATGGCAGGAACGATAAGCGGTGGGCCCATGAAAAAAAAATCAGGTCCGAGGATAGGAACCTCACTCTGATAACATGTGAAAAAAAGCTAGAGAGAGTTAGGCTTAGGAGCCATGGCTTAGGAGCCTTGGTTGAGTTCGAGTGAGTTGGGTTGGGAGAGTCGAGAGAGTTGAAACAAAAGAGAGGTTTCACTATAGAGCGTGCAGTACAAATAGGCAAGATGAAAGGTGCACCACCAAAACAGAACATTATATAACTATAGTAGTCTACACTACAGGCAGTTACAAAACAATATATAGATTTATATATTATTCTGACAGGATACCCCACTACAGCCTACATAAAAGTATAAGCTATAATGTTGTGACACACCCCCATAGGCAAAGTGGGGGAGAACAAGGGGTCACAAGACCGGTCAAGCAAAGCAAAGCAAAGCAAGCTCAGGGTGGATCACAACATCACCACACATTCTGAGCACAAGTTCAAGGCCACAAGGCCAGTTCACATGCAGGAGTACATACATATATAAGGCTAGACAAGCAAGAGCAGGTATATATATATGTAACAGTACAAGCAAGGTCAAGGGGTGAGCAAGTGAGGCAAGACAGGGACAAGGCCCAGCTGAGTGCAGAAGCGCAGATGATCACAAGGCGGAAGTGCCTTGGTGAAAACATCAGCAGTGTTGGCCTCAGAGGCCACGTACGCAAGCCGCAACTGACCACGCTGCTGTAGCTCACGAGCAAGGAAGTAGCAAAGAGCAATGTGCTTTGTTCTGTGCTCCAGTCTCTGCTCTCGACACAAGGCCAGCATGGCCTTGTTGTCTACGTACAGGACTGGAGGAGAACGAGGCGGCTCTCCAAGGTCGGTCAGCAGGTAGGTGAGCCAGCGAAGCTCCTGTGCAGCCATGGCCCCGGCGTAGATCTCAGCCTCACAACTGGAGCCGAGAACAGAAGACGAGCGAGTAGCCCGCCACGAGACAGAGCCGGAACCAAGGCTGAAGGTGTAACCCTGTGACGACCGCTGCGTAGCCTGGTCGTCAGCCCAAGAAGCGTTCGCGTGCCCAGTGAGGACCACTGGACTCCGCCCTCCAAGCACTAGCCCCATGCCCGACGTACTGCACAAGTAGCGCAACACCCTCTTCGCTGCAGCCATGTGCTCTGGTCGGTGTCTCCCAGGAGCAACATAGCGTGCAAGAATGCTAAGAGGGTATGCAAGGTCAGGTCGTGTGTAGGTAATCAGGTACATGAGGCAGCCAAAAAGCTCTGGGTACGGGCCACTCGACTCTACGGACTCATCCGAAGGCAGAGCTGAGAGTGAGTGGCGAGTGGGCAGAGGAGTGGCCTGAGGCGAGGAGTACGTGAAGCCGAAGCGCTGAAGGACCTGCTGCACCATGTGTGACTGAGTCAGGGTAATGGTGCGGCGTGCACTGTCCCGGGTGATCTGCAAGCCAAGGTAGCTGCGCAGTTCACCCAGGTCAGTGCACGTGTGTCTCTTCTGCAGCTCGGACTTCACGTAGGCGAGTGGAGCAGTGTCAGCTGTGGCAAAGACCAAGTCGTCGACGTACACGAGGATGTAGAATGGCGGCAGAGAGGTGTCGGTGCGCAGAAGCAGCGACGGGTCGGCTGTAGAAGGAGCAAACCCAAGAGCCGCAAGCGTAGTCCTCAGTGTGTCGTGCCACTCGCGTGGCGCCTGGCGGAGACCGTAGACTGGACGCCGGAGACTCCACTGGGTGCCAGGAGGGAAAGACCCAGTGAAGCCAGGTGGGCGGCGCAGTCAGATCTCCTCGTGCAGGCTGACTGAAGCCAGGAGCCACGTACCGCGCCTTGAAGACAGGCGGAGAACCCGGCGGCCACTTCACCGTGAAGATCCACATGCCACTGATGATGTTCGCCCCAAGAGGGGGGACAGCGTCAACGTAGGTGCCTGTGGACTTCCAAGAAGCCATCTCTGCATCCATAGCTGCATGCCACTGAGAGGAGTAGGGACCCTCTATCGCCTCCGCGTAAGAGCGCGGAGTCGGGATGTCAAGTGCATCCGGGTCTCCCTCAGGGGTAAGCAGTACGGACACGAGATGAGGTGAAGCAGCAGCCAGACACTGGAACTCCTCCTGCCTGTCCTCAAGGACGTCCGTGCCAAGGGCACACTCACCCCCGACGGACGGAGGACAGGCAGACTCAGACTCAGCGACAAGACTAGCAGCGTAGTCTAGACGACAGCGAGCAGCAAAGTCGACGAGCTCAGCAACTAGGGCAGACGCAGCAGTGGACTCAAAAGAAGGGTCAGTGACGACAGTAGCAAGGAGACGCGTGACAGTAGGACTGGCAGCACGAAGAGAGTCCGACTCCGGGTCGGCAAGAGCAGGAAGAGAGGACTCAGGAGGAGAAGATAAAGGGGCACGCAGAGGAGCAGTGGACGGACGCAGAGACATCCTGTGCATGCCAGGGACAGGAGGAGGACGCTGACGCGAACCACGACCACTAGTGCGAGCAGCACGGACAAGCGACGTAGGGCGAGACGCAGGCTCACGACGCTCAGCAAGACCGCCAGTAGGACCAGTTTAGGGAGAAGGAGCAGGCAAAGGGGAGGTAGGCTGCAACTAGAACTGTGACGGGACAGGCTGTGGACACTCTAAAGAAGGAGGAGGACCCGTAGAAGGCGGAAGACCAAGAACCTGCTGCAGTAGTGGAACGAAGTACAGTCGAGGCCGCGCAGCGACGCCAGACACAGCACGGACAGCAGCAGTTTCCCTAGTAGGACCGCCAGCAGCACCTCCAGCAGCTCCAGAACCTCCAGCAGCACCAGTAGTACCCCCAGCAGGACCGCCAGCAGTAGGCTCAGCGCCAACACCCTCAGCAGCACCAGCTCCAGTCGAACCCGCAGGCCCAGCAGCTCCAGTACTCCATGTACGAGCACCTCTGGGACCCGCGACAGCAGCACCCTTAGTAGCCGAAGAACCTCCAGCACCAGCAGCACGGCTCCAGCGCCGGGCAAACCACTCGCGCAGCTCTTGTGGAGAGAGTGGCTCCCGGCGAGACGAAGCACCCGGAGAACCTCCATGCGGAGCACCTCCAGGCCCAGCACCCCCAGGCAAAGCACCGCCAGGCTCCGCACCCCCAGGCTCAGCACCCCCAGGCTCAGCACCCCCAGGCTTAGCACCCCCAGGCGTAGCACCCCCAGGCTTAGCACCCCCAGGCTCAGCACCCCTAGGCTCCGCACCCCCAGGCCCAGCACCCCTAGGCTCAGCACTTCAGAGTCAGCACCCCCAGGCTCAGCACCCTCAGCAGCACCAGAGTCACCAGAGACCTCGACAGGCTCAAGTGCGTCTACTTGGGACACACCTGAAGGGGCAGGACCCTGAGGGGGGAGGGGGTCTACTGGGGGGGGACCTGGTACAAGGAAGAGCGGGGGCGGGGGGAGGGACGGAGTGCGGTAGGGGAAGAGGTAGTAGTAGGGGACCGACTCGTCGAACGCGACGTTCTGGGAGGACAGAACACGGCGGGAGGTGGGGTGGTAGAACTGCCACCCAGGCGCGTCAGGGGGGAACCCCAGGAAGACGCAAGGAGCAGCACGAGGGGACAGCTTGTCCGTAGACAAGTCGCGGACAAACGCCCGAGATCCCCAGACCCGGAACGCCGACGCATCGCCAACCTTCCCCGTCCACAGCAAGGCTGGGGAGGTCTCCGGCCTGGAGACCCTGGGGTGAAGGTTGATCTGATGCGCCGCGTACCGAACCGCAAACGGCCACAGAAAATGGGGGGCAGCCGCATGCATCATAGACTTCCGAGCGACATCCATGACCATGCCAATGCGGCGCTCAGCAATCCCATTTTGCTGCGGAGAGTCCGGAAGCGTGAACGTCTGACGGATGCCTCGTGCACGACAGTAGGCTCTCAGAAGGCCAGAGGAAAACTCTCCGCCTCTTTCTGAGTGCAAACGCAGAACAGGAAAGTCCGAGCCAAAGCTCTGCCTGAGCTGGAGACAAGCTGCGCGGATCCAGTCGATCAGTACCTCAGTGACATCACCCTTGCTGCGCAAGGGGAAGACTGCGGTGTAACGCGAGTAGTCGTCAACAACGAGCAGGAAGTAGCGCTCGTGACCCTGTCCACGGACGCGGGCTGGGCCCCACACGTCCATGTGAAGCGTCTGCAACGGGGCCTCTGTCGGAGGAAACTGGGAGGAGTGAGGGGCAGCACGCTGGCGCCCCTCGACACAGGGGACACAGGTAGGGCCAGGGCCCTGAGGAAGGGGAGGGAGGGACCGGGGGAGACCAGAAGCAAGAAGACGAGAGGCCATGCTTCTGAGCCTAAGCAGAGAGGGGTGACCAAGGCGGTGGTGCCAGAGGAGAGTCTCATGAGACAGGAGAGGACACGAACAGGGGGCAGACTCAGGACTAGACCTGGACGCTGCAGCAAACACCTGAACCGACGCAGCTACCCTACCAGACTCAGTAACGGGAGGAGACGCAGTGGTCAGTGTGTATAGGCTCGACCCCGGCTGACGGGTAAACGTAGCCAGGTGTCGGCCTGTGCTAGCCTCTGTGCAGTGCGTCACCCGCTGACGGGCAGGAGTGAACTGGTGTGCTCCCGCATCCTGCAGGTCAGCACCACTCACCAGGTTTGTAGAGAACGAGGGGAGGTAGAGACCAGAAAGGGTGCCAGAGGGAGCCGCCGGACACGGGAGGACTGTGGAGAAGCGAGACAGGACAGGACCCCCAGAGGGGTCAGCCAGAGACACCGCAACCGGCCGACTAAGCGGCGTGAGTGTGGTGCGGTCCAGAAAGAAGGAGCGAGACGCCCCTGAGTCAAGAGTGAAGGTGAGGGAGGCCGAAGCCGACGTAGTACCTGAGAGCGCAGACTCACCAGTACCTGAGGACGCAGACACACTAGCACCTAGAGCAGCAGCGTCGCAAGCACCTAGGGCAGCCGCCTCACCAGTACCTAGAGCAGCAGTCTCAATGCCCGGATCGGGCGGGAAACACCGGTAACAGTCACCCTCATCACTAATAGACACAGCATACATGGCAGAGAGAATAGCATCAAAGTCAAGATCATAGATGGCAACACCCGCCCTAGACAGCTCGCCCTAGCGAGGGATCTCTGAGGCCTCCGGGAACTGGTGACGCCATGCGTTTGTCAGGCGGCCAAAGCAGCGCGGGGTGGGGTGCGCACCCCCACACTGCTCACCCGCACGGTCGCCGGTGCGCAGGACGTAGGTGCACGGACCAAAACCCCCACCCCGCTGGCGTGAAGTGTACCACTCACGGAGCTGCTGAGGGGACAGGGTCTCACGACCGCGCTGCTGCTGCTGGCGCGAGCCACCACCGGAGCCACTCCTCTGCGAAGACCCGCGACCAGCTCCACCGCCACCCCCGCCGCCTCCGCCGCCTCCGCTACTGCCGCCGCCTCCGCCGCCTCCTCCAACGCCGCCACCTCCGCCACCTCCGCTCCCACCGCCACCGCCGCCGCCTCCTCCGCCTCCACCGCCGCCACCGACCCCTCCACTCCCACCTCCACTCCCACCGCCACCCCCAGTCCCCCCACTGCCGCCACCTCCACCTCCACCGCCCCCGCTCGCTCCTCCAGCGCCCCTGCCCCCCTTGCCCTTGCCAGGGCGGCGTCTCCCGCTAAGGGCAGACGCCGCACCGACCGACTCAAGACCAAGGAGGTCGGCCGCAGCACCAGAGGCAACAGAGGGCAGAAGGGGGGAGGGGGAACACCCCTCAAAGATGGGGGTGCGCGGGTCACCTCGAGAGGCTCCTACAGCGACTATGCTCTTCTCTATCGCTAGGAGGGCCTTCTCGAGGAGGTCAACAGTGAGAGTGGTGGGACAGACTGAGAGGAAGTGGTCCCTGACTACACGAAGGGAGTCAGGGAGGCGAGTGACTATGTAGTAGAGAGTGATGTACATGGGGGGGGGGGTTCTTGGCGCAGAAGTCAGCAGGAAGCGCAGCACGGTAGCGAGTGTCACTAGTGCGGAGGTGCGTAATGAGGTCAGCTACGGTGGGAAAGGCAGCAAGGTCAGGGAAGAGGTACGGTAGCATGAGACGGCTCAGTGCAGCAGTGGCAGGGGAGGAGTAGCGCGCGAATGCAGCGTCGTACAAGGTCTGAGCACTCTTGTACTGGCTAAAGTGCGCACGCTCGGAGGTAGGGAGGTGGCGACGCACAGCAAGACGTGCTGCAGCGTCGCGCGTGGCCCACTGGGAGCGAATAGTGGCGTCAGCATCAGTAGCAGGGGCAGGGGAAGTGCCAGAGGTGAGGTTAAAGAGAGAGAGGCCGTCTGCCCTATCGCACTGTAAGAACAGCTGCAGGTCATCTACCCTATCGCACTGTAAGAACAGCTGCAGGTCATCTACCCAGACCTAAAAGTCAATGGCCCGACCCTCAGCGTCAAAGGCGAGGACACTAGGGGTAGCCATGACCACAGACGACTAGCAGTGCAAACAGTAGGGTGAGGGCAGTGCAGTGAAAGAGGCGCTGTGCTCACCAGACTGGGCAGCTCGGGCGGCCCGGTAGTAGGGCGGCTCGGCGGCTCGGCGGCTCGGCGTCTCGGCTGCCGGGCGGCTTGGCGGCTCTGCTGCTGGGCGGCTCGGCTGCTGGGCGGCTCGGCTCCGGGCGGCTCGGCTCCGGGCGGCTCGGCTGCTGGGCGGTTCGGCTGTGCTGCTGCAGGGCGGCGTGGCGGTCGGCTGCTCGGCCGGGTGAGACGGCTCGGGCGGAGTCGCAGGTAGGGCGGCGGGGCCGCAGGTAGGCCGACTGGGCCGGGTCGAAGGTAGGGCGACGGGGCCGAGGCCGGGGCGCAGGTAGGGCGACGGGGCCTGGGTCGGGGCCGCAGGGAGGTCGACGGCGGCGGGGCCGCTAGTAGGGCGGCGGGGCCGCAACAGAGTGACGGGGCCGGGTCGAAGGTAGGGCGACGGGGCCGGGGCCGGGGCGCAGGTAGGGCGATGGGGCCTGGGTCGGGGCCGCAGGTAGGTTGACGGCGGCGGGGCCGCTAGTAGGGCGGCGGGGCCGCAGCAGAGCGACGGGGCCGGGTCGAAGGTAGGGCGACGGGGCCGGGGCCGGGGCGCATGTAGGGCGACGGGGCCTGGGTCGGGGCCGCAGGTAGGTCGACGGCGGCGGGGCCGCTAGTAGGGCGGCGGGGCCGCAGCAGAGCGACGGGGCCGGGTCGAAGGTAGGGCGACGGGGCCGGGGCCGGGGCGCAGGTAGGGCGACGGGGCCTGGGTCGCGGCCGCAGGTAGGTCGACGGCGGCGGGGCCGCAGGTTGGGCGGCGAGGCCGCTAGTAGGGCGGCGGGGCCGCAGTAGGGCGACGGGGCCGCGCCGAAGGTAGGGCGACGGGGCCGGGGCCGCAGGTAGGTCGACGGCGGCGGGGCCGCAGGTTGGGCGGCGAGGCCGCTAGTAGGGCGGCGGGGCTGCAGCAGGGCGACGGGGCCGGGTCGAAGGTAGGGCGATGGGGCCGAGGCGCAGGTAGGGCGACGGGGTCGGGAGGGCGACGGGACGCGGCCGCTAGGGCGGCTCGACGAAGTCAGAGAGGGGAGCGCAACTCGGGGAGCGCGCTCCGGGAAGGAAAAAAACAATTCGATGTGGTGGGCCCTAGGCACAGTTCCCACGAGGGAACCTGCTCGATACCATGAGAAGAAACGAGAATGAATGAACTATGAATGAAGTGGGTACAAGTACTAACCCTAATTGGGTTGTACCCCCTATGGGATACCCCACTACAGCCTACACAAAAGTATAAGCTATAATGTTCTGACATTGCTGCCTTCATTGCGCGATGACGTCAGCAGCGTTGATTAGATACTACGCAGAAATATCCTAGCGTTGAAGTTGACGTCATTAAAAAACTCCCGAGAAATTTCGAGAGACACAGCTGACGTCAGCTTCAATTGTTTGCGCGCGAAACCTCGGGCGACGCAGCTGACGTCAGCTGCAATTTCTGACGTCGCTGCAATTCGAACGTCGCTGCTGACGTCAGCCCGAAATTTCTTGCGCGCGAAATTTCAGGCGACGCTGTTGACGTCAGCCCGCAATTACATCGCGTGCGACTTTAGTGGTTGCAAGGCTGCCCAACTGTTTCTAACTGTTTTGTTAGTAAGAAACACCACAGCATTTTGACAGCTGTCAAAACGGTGACAGTTGTTTGACAGCTGTAAAAACAGTGCTCAAAGGAATAACACCAGTTGATGTTTTTTATTCTGCCAGCTGTCGGCACTGTTGACGCGGTTTTAAGGTGTCGTTTTCTACGGTAGTAACTGTAAAAATCAGGACTGATCTGATTGCGGAAAGATCCGATTCCAACTGTTTCAGTTTCATATGCCATGCTATCTCTAGTGCCATAAACTACAAAGGCCAACTTGTTATGAAATTGACTGTGGCTAAGACCCATCTCACTACAAAGGCCAACTTGTTATGAACTATGAACTAGAAACAAAACAAACAGCATTGTTCAATTGGCTGTTTTGTTTCTAGCTCAATGCTTCCAACTGTTTTTTTTGTTTCCACTGCACAGTAACAATTCTCTTACCATTGGTCAACTTTGTATCCAATTAAGAAAGGCTCTTCCACTTCTCCCTTCCCAAAGCAAACCCTCTAGCCCTTTCTCCCTTTCTTTCCCATCCTTCTCTTTCTCAAACCAAACTCCACATTTTCTTGGAGCTTGTTTCATTCTTCTTCCTCACAACACATTCAAGCTCTCTTTTATCTAGTGATAACTCTTCAAGCTCTGTTAGTGGTCACATTCAAGGTACCTAGTGATATCTCTTCAAGCTCTCTTTTATCTAGTGATGACTCTTCTTGGTTCTCTCTTGCTACCTATTAAGTGAGTTGAGATATTCTCTTCTTTAGTTAACTACTCTATTTCAAACTCTTCCAGCTACTCTCAACTTTGATCACTTTTTAGAGTGTACCCTAGCATATCTATCTAGAAGAAAGTCGAGCTCAATTCTTGTATGTTTTTATTATCCTCATGCATTGACTTCTATGTTCTTGCATTTACCAACATACACTCCAACACCTTGTTTTTGTTATTCCTGGACGTGCTTCTTATCAGGCATCAACAATTGGTTTACATCAGCATCTTAACTTCAGGCTGCACGGAGCTCAAAGTCTGCATTTGAAGTTTTTGTGGTAATATAGTGAAATTGCTAGCTTGTTAATGTTTTTTTCAAACGTTTTTTTATTTTTATTTTGTCTTACAATCTTCTAGGTCTTATGGACAGTGATGTTGTTCTTCATTCTGTTATTTATATCAAGAGGAAAAACAAGAACGGATTCATACTATTAGCATTGAAATTGTGCCAGATTGTTCAGCATACCAAGGTTGTAATATTCTGTTTGCTTATGTTTACCAATGTATTTTTTGTAAATTCTATTCAATTTTTTTTGTGTCACAACCAATATTTCACTATTTTAATGATTGCTCCTACTTCTGATTTGAATGCAGCATTTCTAACCTTTGATGCATACATGATACGTTCTGTGTACTGTCTTACAGCAACATCATCAAGATTCAACAACATCCCTTCTGAAATTGAGTGTCTAGTGAAGTGTTGGCTGTAAGCTATAAAGGTATTTACAATGGTTTTATATGCCCCATAACTCTCATGAACATCGACTATAAGATCCTTGCAATTTGTTTGGCTAACAGACTCCAACCCCTCCTCCCCTCCCTCATTAACCATTCGCAGACCGCCTTTATCGAAACCTGCATGATTGGCAACACCTTAAATGACACCCTTGATATTTTTGACTAGGCTACGGCTCAACCTATCCCTCTCCTTGCCCTCACCGTAGACATCCGGAAGGCGTATGATAGGGTTGACCGGGAGTTCCTCCTGTCCTGCCTGGCGCACCTAGGCCTTCCTCACCAATTCATACGCTGGGTCAAATTTATGCACACCGGCACCACTACGCGCATCTCGGTGAATAACCTCTGCGGCCAGCCCATTCAAGTCTGCTCAGGGGTACGGCAAGGGTGCCCCTTGGCCCCTCTCCTTTTCCTGTGTGTTATTAAAATTTTCCATCGGTATGCGTCCTGCTTTCTCCCTGATTTCCCTGTTTCCCGCACACAGAGCCGGTTAATGGCTTGTTATGCTGATGACATTACCATCTTCTTGAACTCCGATGACGAATTAAAAATCGTGTCACACACCCTTCGCTCCTTCGCAGCAGTCTCAGGGGAGCATCCTATTTGGGCCAAATGTTCCATTATTCCTTTCAACCTCCCCCCGGCTGACATACGGCGTGCAGGCGACATCCCGGTGCGTCAGTGCGATGATTTTGAACGGATCCTAGGTATTTTTGTTGGCATGTCTGGTCTGACAGAAGTCACTTGGAACCACGCGCTCAATAAGATTAAGCGTTCCTCCAACCTCCTCTCCAATCTCCATGCCTCCTCTTCCTGCCATACACGCCTTTCCTCCGAACACCTCAATTCCGTTTTGACCTTCCCTGGCAGATTCCAACCTCCCCCCCCTCCCTCAGTTAAAGCGTTGGACGCGGTTGTCGGCAATTTTCTTTCTTCCTCCAAATTCCGCTCGGAAGGACGGACTACCCGCCTCCTTACACACAGTATCATCTATAACAAAGCGGAGCATGGCGGAGTAGGGGCAAAACGGCCTTCTGTGCAAATCCACGCTCTCAATGTGCAGAGAGCTCTTCGTCGCTTTGCCCCTTCCCCAGTGCTGCGGTTGCAAGGACCTGTATCCCCGTCCCCTTTGGCCTTCACGGGTTCCTCTTACATTTCGATTTCATCTCTGCCTTACCGTCATCCGTCCCTTTTTGCTTCCAAGAAGAGATGCGCTGCCTCGCTGACCTCGCTCTGGAAATAGCATCTCCCCGCCTGGAATTCTGGTGTATCCTCTCTAAGCCGGCCCCCTTCAACAAGTTCATCCTGAAAGCAGATGAACGTCCCTTCGAAAGATGCAAGGACGAGGCGTTTCTCCTTGCAGAAGAAGTCCGCATCGGCCACTTAGTCCGTAGGGAGGCGCAAGGTGCTCGGCGTATGACTGAAGCTGAAATCATGGAAAAATACCCGTCAGAACATTATAGCTTATGCTTTTGTGTAGGCTGTAGTGGGGTATCCCATAGGGGGTACAACCCAATTAGGGTTAGTACTTGTACCCACTTCATTCATAGTTCACTCATTCCCGTTTCAGATTTGATATGGTATCGAGCAGGTTCCCTCGTGGGAACTGTTCCTAGGGCCCTACTACTGCTTCCGCTGTTACTCGATCTGTCGCACGCCCCGTGGCGTGCGACCTATTCTCAACGGCGCGCGGCGATTTTCCTTCTGGCGCACGCCCCGAGGCGCGCGGCCCCGCTAGCCTGTCGCGTCGCCCTAGCGGCCGCATCGCGCCGCCCTCGCGGCCCCGATCTACCGCCCTAGTGGCCTCGTCACCTACCCCTGCGGCCTCAGCGCCGCCCTTCCCGGCCCTGGCTCTGCCCTTCCCGGCCCCGGCGCCACCTCGGCTGGCCCCGTCGCCTACCCCGGCGACCCCGACGCCGCCCTTCTCGACCCGGCCCCGCCTCTGCTGGCCCCGTCGCCTGCCCTTGCGGCCCCGGCTCCGCCCTTCCCGGCCCCGGCGCCACCTCGGCTGGCCCCGTCGCCTACCCCGGCGATCCCGACGCCGCTCTTCCCGACCCGGCCCTGCCTCTACTGGCCCCCTCGCCTACCCCTGCGGCCCCGGCGCTGCCCTTCCCGGCCCCGTCTCCACCTCTGCTGGCCCCGGTGCCGCCTCTGCTGGCCCAGACGCCTACCCTGCGGCCCCGGCGCCACCTCTGCTGGCCCCGTCGCCGCTCCACCCGGCCCCGCCGCCGTCCCCAAGCGGCTCTGCCGTCACCACCGAGCCGCCGGCGCCGCCGAGCTAGTGCCGAGCCACCCGAGCCACCCGAGCCGCCCGAGCCGCAGCGCCACCTCAGCCGCCCGAGCCGCCGAGTCGCCGAGCCGCCGAGCTGCAGTTGCTGCCGAGCCGCCGTACTGCTGAGTCGCCCGAGTCGCCCGAGCCGCCGAGCCGCAGTTGCTGCAGTGCCGCCGTGCCGCCAAGCCGCCCGAGCCGCCCGCACCGCCG